TTGTACACTTATAAGCAATTGTATGTCAATGCCTTATAGTCTTTTAAGAAGCTGCACATTTTTGGAAAGGAAATCTACTGTAATATGAACACTTTCTTGCTTGCTTTAGAAATAGGACACAGAAATCAATCCACAGACATACTTCAACTTTTTCTTGTCATTTTTGTTATTTCATTCCACAGCTCAGAGAAAGGAGAACTGGAAAAGAATAAAAATGTACCGTTTGACTCATATATCCTTATTCTGTTTTAATTGCATGTAAAGATGACACATTATAGTGAAGACATTTTATTACGATTCAGAAAGAAAAAGGTTGAGTGAGTTATGAGTGGTATGGGATGGGGGCACCAAAAGATTCATGATGATTCAGTTCAGGAATACCCATCATTTCCCTGAATGTGGTATTGCAACAGATAGATAACCCGCATGTCAGTGATTGCATCTGCTTAAATAAATGGCCTCGGCTTGCTATAAATATTGAATATTGTGTTTTATATTAGAGTAAGCATTAGTAATGATACTACTATCTCTGCATTTGAGGTCAAATGAAAAGATGAGTGTGCCAGGTTCTAAGATGATGAACTCTGACCATTCTCTAGCACTCATGTCCAGTTCCTAGGCCTGCCACGTGGTGTTCAGAGTAGGAGAAAAGGGGGAAGAACACACAGTCAGGAGCCAGCCTGAGTCCAAATCCTGACCCTACCACACACTAGTGCTAAGACCTCAACAAGCCACTCAATCTCCCACTCAGTGCCTCATTCTCCCCCTCTGGAAAGTGGGGCAAGAAACACCGCCTGATGTGTGGGTTCACTGAATTATATGGAAAGTGTTTAGAACAGTGGCTAGCATATAATAAATGCTAAATAAGCATCAGGATGACAATGGCTATTTTTTCATACTGAAGCTTTCTCTAGTACTGCTACTTCTGCTCCTCTCCACACCAACTTCCCACCCCCTACCCCACCTCATCCCCTCCAGTCAACTGCCACAAGTGGGCTCACAGCTGGGCCCCCTGCTTTCTGCATATCTACCCCACTGGCACCAGTTCAAGTCTAATATTCCCTCCATGTGGCTTACACTACTCAATAAACAAGTCCATCACAGCACTCACTACACTTTTCATTTTCTTCATCTATCCAGGTTTCTGTGTAGGGGGCTGAAAAACATATATTTTAAAGGCTGATATCAGAAGCCCACTTAGATAGGAAATGATCTTCTTTTAAGATCTATCTTAACAAGCAAACTTTGACAGGAAAGATGAGTCCCAAAGACTCTGACTGTAAGGAGAGACTAACTCCTCCCCATGAGAGGTACACATTCTCTTGGGCAAATGGTGCAAAAGAAGTTCAATGAATGGAGAAAGGCCAAAATGATTCCAACCTGCAGAAAAAGGTGGCCGGTGAGAGATTCCTGGTGGCAGGGGTTGATGGCTATTTAAGACAGGAGTGAATCTTCTTTTATATTCAAGTTGTTTGCATTTCTGAGATGTGAAAAAGACCCAAAACTTAAGTAAAGTCTTAAGTGTGCTGGCTCAGGTCCTCCAAGAGACAGATGGATTGGTTGTGTAAGAGATTTACCGGGGAAAGGCCGGTAAGGAAGTAAGGGAAGATAATTCAGAGAGGTGCTGATCTGACCAGTGCAAAAGGGGAGGGGGAAGAGAGGAAGACTGGTTAGACCTTCAGATCACAGAGAGTTCTAAGAAAGATCTGATGACAGGTGATGGAAAGTCCTTGAGTCAAAGTCACTGTTGGAGGAATCCTGCATTTCACAGCCCATGATAGTACCCCACTGTGCTAATTGCAGCCCACTCACCAAATGTAAAGCCAGTGCAAACATGATGGTAGATCTAGAGGAGCAGCAACCAGGGCTGTCAGCCAGCCATGCTCCCAGAGGAGGGGACGGGAGCTGTGCACCTTCTCTTGCCACCATCCAGGGTTACCTCAGCTGACAGAATCATGTCCGATTCATCGTTTGATATTCAACTGCTCAGTAAATTAGTAAGTTGATCCCCACTACACACTGAATCATCATCCTAAACAATCACTGAAACCAAATGTGGTACACATGAAACTCCACTGTACTATTCTTTCTATTTTATTTCATTCAAATTTCCCTTAATAAGAAACTTTATTAAAAATATTATTTAGGGCAGCCCAGGTGGCTCAGTGGTTTAGCACCGCCTTCAGTCCAGGGCCCGATCCTGGAGACAGGGGATCGAGTCCCGCGTTAGGCTCCCTGCATGGAGCCTGTGTCTCTGCCTCTCTCTCTCTCTCTCTCTCTCTCTCTCTCTCTCTCTGTGTGTGTGTGTGTGTGTGTGTGTCTCATGAATAAATAAATAAAATCTTAAATATATATATATATTATTTAGAGGAGCATCTGGGTGGCTCAGTCAGTTAAGTATCTGCCTTTGGCTCAGGTCGTGATCCCAGGGTCCTGGGATCAAGCCCCAAGTCAGGCTCCCCACTCAGTGGGAGTCTGCTTCTCCCTCTCTCTTTCCCCTCTTCCCCATGCTCACTCTCTCTATCAAAGAAATAAATAAAATCTTTAAAAATATATATTATTTAGAAACCCTTGACGGTTCCTCAAAAAATTAAATACAAAAAAATTAAATATAGAATTCCCATACAATCCAGCAATTCTACTGCTGGGTATATACCCAAAAGAACTGAAACCAGGAACCCAAACAGATATCTACATAGCCGTGCTATTCATAATAGCCAAAAAGTGGAAATAATCAAAATGTCTATTGGCAGAAGAATGGATAAACAAAATATGCTATACATATACAATAGAATATTATTCAGCCTTGCAAGGGAAGGACACTGCCACATGCTACAACATAGATGCACCTTGAGGATCATTATGCTAATAAAATAAGCCAGTTACAACATGAGAAATATTACATGATCTCAGTTATATGAGGAAACCCCAGTGGTTTCAAACTCTGAGAGACAGAAAGTAGAATGGTTCTTACCATGGACTGGAAGGAGAGGAGAACAGAGAGACAGGCTTTAAAGGGTAGAGTTTCAGTTTGGGGAGAAGAAGGCATTCTGGAGATGAGCAGTGGGGATGGTTATACAGTATAATGCCACTTTGTATATATCTAAAAATGGTAAACTGTGTTTTATGCAAATTTTGCCACAATAAAAATATATATTATTTAGAGATTATATCTGATAAGGAAGAAAACTACAGCTGGGATACTGGGATACTTTTTGCTACCATGTGTTCTTATGCTTCAGGCTCAGATTCTCTGCCTCCAGATCCCCAGTGATGGTCCCTGTAGCTATGAATTCTCCCAGGCAGCCATTTGGCTGGTGGGCTGGTTCCAGGGCTTTCTCTAATTGTCTTCCTCCCAAAGTCTGCTTAGGGCAATTTCTCAGATTCCACTCAGGAGCCTCCTCTTAGAGCAGCCATTTCCACAAAAAGTCTCAGAGCCCAGGTCTTGGTAGCTCGCTAAACCCCAGATGCTGGCCCTATCCTCTTGCCCCCTCAACTAAGATTTTCCTGTTTAAAAATAAAAGTAGACTTGTTTTGGTAAAATTAGCCAGATGACATTTCTCCCTGAAAGACTTCTGCCAGGATGATGGAGTGAGAAAGAAAACCCTAGTGAGACAGTAAGTGGATCTTTGGCAAAAGAGTGTCATGGTGGGCTGCACCCCACCCCCCTACAAACCCCCGGGGCTTGCTCTCCGGATTCACAAAAGAGGATCAAAGGAGGAGCAGGGCAACAGGCAAACCCTGGCCTGTCTTCACTGCCTGCTCCCTTCCCTTCTGCTTTTCTCATGCTTCTGGTCCTTCTCGCTTTCCATTCTGCCTTAGGCTCAGGCTCTAAATGACTGCAGATACCCTGTTATTATCTCCATCATCCTTCCTGAATATGTCTACTCTATTACTTTCATCATGCAAGATGTTCCAATCATCAGGAACCCTGAATTCAAAGTTTGGGCTCTACATATTCTGTGTTTCAGTCAGTGTGTCAAACCAGATAACATGAGACCAGTAGAAGCTGTGGGAGCACTGATCCCTGTGCTTATAAAGATGGCCAAGACAGCTGCCCCAAGCCACCAGAGGGCCTAGATCTATAAATCGTTCAGAAGGTCAGGGGAAGGGGGACCAAGAGGGCACAGCATGTTTAAATAAAAGGATGCAAAAAGAATGGCTATCCCCTTATAATGATGGCAAAATACTCAGAGAGCCTGACCCCCTCTTTCCCCAAGAGCTTGCCACGTCAGTTTACTTTTAGGCAACCCAAAACCAATTCTAAATAGTTTAAGTGGAAGAAGAAAGAAAGAAAGAAAGAAAGAAAGAAAGAAAGAAAGAAAGAAAGAAAGAAAGAAAGAAAGAAGAAAGAAAGAAGAAGAAGAAGAAGAAAGAAAGAAGAAAGAAAGAAAGAAAGAAAGAAAGAAAGAAAGAAAGAAAGAAAGAAAGAAAGAAAGAAAGACTAGTTCATTCACAGGACCCTTAGAAGAGCCCATCAGTAGGCTTGGGGGCTAAGCAGACAATAAAATGCCCAAATCATATTCATCCAGCTCTGTGGTTCCAGAGAGCTAGGCCCACAAACCAGCACTGCCAACATGGGTATGCCAGGCTGCTCTGGACACTCTGCCACAACCATTTCCAGAAACTGGATACTCTTACCACCACACTAGTCAAGAAGATCTCGCACCAACCCCAGCTTCACTGGCTTCCAATTCTAAGTCTGATTGATGGGACCTGGTCACATCCCTGCACCCAAATTGGAGGGATGCTGGTTAAGAATCTGGAAAACTGGTAGGTGTCCCCGTTGGGGGAGTCTCTGATCATGGACACTGACCCAGAACTGACCCCAGGCAAGCTGGCTCCAGAGGCAGTACTCTTAACCACCAGCTAGTGACCGAGATACTCTATATAGCAAACTGAATCATGGTCTCTACAGAAACAGTATATTCTAAGAACTTCAAATTTTCACAAACCATTTAATTTTAATATGGAGAATGGCTTAACAGAAAAAAGCTTACCAATCTTTCTCTAACTTTCATTTGAAGGGATTTCAGATCACACACATTGTACTTCCTCTTGCCTCCTGAAAGAGTCAAGTCAGATAAGGCAGGTTAGAGAAACTCCTGTCTCTTTGTGACACAGAAATTCACACAGAAACATCTCAGAAATGCAAAAGCTTCTGTGAAGAAACCAAACTTTCCCTTGCCTCTTCAATTTAATGGTATGCTAATCATACTATCTGAGGCATGTCTGAGAATAAACTCTGAAAGCCACAGTTTTCAAGAACATACCAAGAGTCTAATATAGATGGATATCTACGTCCTAGAAATCAAATTCTCTTATTTGAATATTTATGACAAGAAGTTATATGGCAAGGTTAAAATTTTCCAGTGGCCCAAGTCGAAAAGCTCTTTTGCTTTCCTATTATGCTGTGCTCAACCAAGGGAGGGTATTTTTAGTACTCTATTGCTAGGTGCTCAACTTTCTTCTCTCATCAGAAATATAATTGACTTTATTTTTATCTGCCTCAACGTTTCCTTCATATGGTAAGCTTCTAAACATCAGTGTCTGCTAAATAGTAAGATTTCAGTATATATGTGGTATGTTCAGCCTCCACTGAGGAAACTATAAAATAACAGGAAATTCATCTCAGATGGATGTTACTTTGGGACTTTTGTGTTCTCCACCTTCCAGTGACTTTCCAGAAGCAAGGTATCACATGACAAATTGCTTCTAAATTTTCGTTCCAGAAAATATTTTGCCTCTCCTGAAGAGTTGAAAGTATTTTTCTTCTGAAAAATGAAAACTAGTCATGTTTCTCATCTTCCTTTGGCCACCAGGAAACTCAGTGCCAATTTGCAGGCCTATTATGTTTGGGTCCATTAGCTGCAACTAGAATTAAAGCTATTTAGAACTTGATGGCTCAGTAGGTCACTTAGCCACTCATTGCCTCCCAGCTCCAAATTCATTCTTTTTGTCTGCTCCGTAAAAATGGATATGATGCCTTTAAATATTTTTTACTCTGCCAGTTGGTATATATCAACCTTTGGTGGCCAAGTACTCTGGAGAGATATTTCAGGAGGAAAAGATTTTGTTTGCTGGCTCTGATGTTTAATTTCCAGGCTCCCGCAGGGCTCACAAGGTCTTAAGGGTCCTCTCACGCACTCATGGCTTCCCCAGGGCCCAGCACCTGCAGCTTCTCCCTTGCCGGACTCCTGCAGGGCACAGCGGTCAGCATTCCTGAGCAGCCCGCAGCAGCTTCCCCAACACCCTTTTGGGTAGAGTTGTAGCAGTTTCTCTAGTAAGACACCTCCCTGTGAGCAGCTTTTTCCAACACCCTGGAGGGCAGGTTTCCAGCAAGTTCCTAAGGGTGGCTTTCTAGATAATTCCAACAACACAGCACCACACTGACTTCTCTGCTATTGTCAGCCACAGCTGTACCCTCTCCAACTGAGGTCTGGGTTTCTGCCCTGGGGGTTCCCTACTCCCACCTCTAGGGATAGTGGCTGTTCCATCTCCAAAGATATGATACTATATAGAGTTCTCTTTATTTCTTCCCAGGCAACTCCTTGTTTGCTCCACTTCCCTGTTATAGTCAACAATTCTTTACATTAAAGTTTCCATGTTCAAATGACTGTGGCTTTTCTCTTCTGATCAGACCCAGACTGATATATTTAGCATATATGCATTTTATATTTCTTTCTCTCCTGACATCTAATCAAATGTATTTAACCCCTTGGTTCTATTATTTTTCAAATTCAGATTTCACTACTTAATTGTGGACATACTTTCGGTGTAGTCTACTCTAAAACTATTTGTGGAATGTAAAGGCCACAATTAATTGAAATGCATATGCAAATGAGGTCCATGCCTATTTAAATTGCTGTACACCTTTCCCGAAAAGAATCAGTCTCCATGCAGTAAGCCAATTATTTTTGATGAAGATAATGACACTAATGATCCTAGGTACTTCCATCCCATGTTAGACTTTTCTATAGCTGAAATAGGACCCCTAGATGTTAAGATGTTCAGACCAGAAATAACAAACCAATAGGCCCATGATAATAATAGTTCATCACTGTTCTTCTCAAATCAAAATTTTCTTTTCCTACACAGTTCCTGAAATTCTTGTGACCCGCCCCAGGCTAGCAGCTGATTCAAGAGATACTAAATACAAAGAGATGGATGGAGATGGGTGTGGAAAACTGTATGAGATAGAGATTTTCAAACTAGTGTGACAGAGCAAAGGATGGCAATTTCACAGGAACATAAGAGAAACCAGCGAGCACTGTGACAGTTAAGGAGTAAAGTCTCAGACCAAATTCCCAAGGTGGCCCCAAAATTGCAAACCTCCCAGGTTAACTAACCATCAATTCCATCACCACTGCCCCAGGGACTGAGGCTTCTAGAAACCCCAAGCTCCACTAGGTACTAACTATATGCCCTCGAGGAATTCCTTAACCTCCAGAGTAACGAGGCCTACCTCCCAGGGTTACCAGGAGGATAAAAAGAAGCACTAATTATGAACACCCTCATCACAGTGCCTGGCGCATCCGAAGTCTTAGCAAATGGGTTGGTCTGCTCCCCTTATATTAATTAGTTCCCAGGGCTGCTCTAGCAAAGAACTACAAACTGGGTGATTTAGTGCAACAGAAACGTATTATCTCTCAGTTCTGCAGGCAAGAAGCCCCAAAATCAAGGTGGCAGTTTGACCCTGCTTTCTCTGAAATCTATAGGGGAAGGATTGTTCCTTGCCTCTTCCAGCATCTGGTGACCCCAGACATTCCCTGGCTTGTGGCAACACAATTCAGACCTCTGTCTCCATCCTCACATGGCCTTCTCTCTGTGTCTATCCATCTCATCTTCCCTGTGTGGCTTCATCTCTGAGACCAAATTCCCCATCATATTGGATTAGGGCCCACCCTTAAATGAGGGTCATTAGACCTCATTTTAACCTCATTAACTCTCTGAAGACTCTATTTCTAAATAAGGTCACATTCAGAGGTACCGGGGGTTAGGGCTTTAACACATCTTTTTGGCGGGGACAAGATTCCCCTCTGCTTAGTTTTCTGCCTTGAGGTGACAGCCTTCTACCCTTCCTCCGTAATGAACTATCAGCTATTTAGAGTACAAGTTCTGCTTTATCACAGTTTCTTGAACATGAGTTGTCTATAATACACCCATAGAGGTAAAGCATGGGTCAGCTTATACCTCACAAACCTCCCACTCTTCCCTGCCTCCCACCTTCTGGGCTCTGGCCATGATGGCTCCCTCCAGCCTCCCCTGGGCCTGTAGCCCCCTGTAGCCTCCAGTCCCTGCCTCACTGTGTCCTGCACTTACCAGAACTGTCCCCTTTCCCTCCCTCTTAATCTGACTCCTTACCCCAAAGACCTATAACCATATATCAGCTGCATTCAAATCTTTGCCAGACAGACACAATCTATAGAAAATAGCAGAGATGGTAAGGAGGACATTTTAGTTGAGCTGAAGGAAAACCCTTCACATGCCTATGTTGAAGCCCAAGTGCTTATCTGAAATATAAGAACTTTTAGGAAGGGCAATGCATTTTGCCACCCCCTCCTCCTCCATATAAGTTGCAAGGGTAGGGGTCTGTTAAGGTACGGGGCTCCTCTGGAGAACAAGAAGATCCTAAGGGTGGGAGCACAGACAGAGGGCATGCATGTGAGCAGAGGCACATCAAAGGTATGCCTGGACTGGCCTCTGCTAAAAAAAAAAAAAAAAAAAAAAAAACAAAAAAAAACAGGGAATTGAGAGGAGTCCCAAAGTGTCAGCAACAATGGATTCATAAACACTGACTCTCCCTACATCTCCAAGGTAGGTATGCTTGCATCTCCCACTCTAGCAACCCCAAAGAGAAAAAGGAGAAGGGATGGATGGTTCTAACAGGCAGCCCCACATTAGGCAGTCCCATGCATGGTCTGCTTTAAGGAGGGAAGAGAATTGCCTAGTCTAAGGCCACCTCCCCAGCTCCCTCCATCAAGGTCTAAAGCTTCCATCATTAGGATCATTCTTAAGTTAAAGACACCCTATCCTCCCAGGACATTTTATAAAAGCAGAAGGCTTCTGGGCAGGAATACACTGTGTTATTAAGTGCCCACAAATATTTCACTCGCAGTGGGAGACTGCATTCCTTGGTGGCCACCAGGGTAGTCAGCTGTCCCAGGGGGGTAACTCCAACTACCTACCTTTGTTGGTTTTGTCTTCTACCATAGCCTCAGAGCTGTACAAACCGATGGATGGAAAACATAATGTAAATCTGCCTCTATAAAGTGAGACCAAATACTACCTAGCACATCATGTTGCAGCTGTATAGAGTTAATGACTCATACATCTAAAATGCTTCGAATGTAAGATCCCGGTAAATATTGACTATCGTCATCATCATCATCATTATCATCATCATTGTTAATGATTGAGAAAACACACAAGTAAGGAGAAAGGTCTAGAGAGCCTACACCAGAAGGCCCCCGTGGGCGTGATGTCGGAGGGGAGGGTCTGAGAGGAGGTGGGTGGTGGGCCAGAAGGGGAGGAGGGCCAAGCCAGCTGCTCCCACCACGCAAGCGTGCATACAACAGCCCTGTGGACACTACCTATGGTCCAGGCACATGGCACTTACCAAGGCCCACTGAGAACCTGGCACTGAACTGTGACCATCTTTTCCCCCCTGATTGAGCCAGAAGCCTCTGTCTAACTGCTTTGCTCTAGCCACGGAGGTGTGATAAAATGTAGCCGAGTGCAGCGGGGAGAAGCCTCCATAAATTAGAAAGGGACTGTGTCCTGGAATCTCTGAAACTGAACCAAATAAATAGGGAGCACGAGGCGGTGGAAATGAGGTGTCCTGGATACCCAGCAAGGACCCACGGGATCCCCCAGAACCTGGGAAGGCAAAGGGCCACAACACAGTTTCCCAAAGTGTGTTCCAGGTAGCTCAGGAAAAGAAAACGTATTCAAATAGGTTTCTGGGTTAAACGGAGTTTAATGTATTTCATTAGAATAAGATTTTTAGAGCTTTAGATATGCCTAAATGCATTGTGAACCTCCAGAGGTGGATTCTGGACTGTT